ATCGACAAAATGTCAAAGATATTGAAGCTGATTTAAACAAGCGATAACGGTGTACCGAAGTTTTCTATTAAAGATTTATTGAGCGTTGTGAATAACATAAGCAGCCTTCCTCGCACGAAATTTTGGTTCGGAATCTTACATCTTGAAGTACGTTCGAGAGAAGACAAAAATCTTTTGTACGGCCTTAACTTAAGATGTATATATTCTATTTTAACTAGATATAGCATTATAACATGTTGTATACTGTGGTGGATTGTGGTCTGTACGCATATGCATGCTATAATATCGGCGGGTACGCGTATAAGACGTATAATAATACGAGACGAAATTTACATAATATTTCCGTCAATTTATATAAATATTGCAGCTTAACACAGGCAGTTTCAGTGTGTTTATACCTTGTTTATGCTTCTTGTGACATGTAGACTTTATATATTAATCAGATCGCTACTTAATAACACTGTTTATACCTATTTTATATTTTAAACTACAAGAACACGACAATGTAGCATGGCCTTGTGTAATACGATCTCTACAACATGTACACAACAAGTAAAATGGATCATGTTGCCATTGTGAATACTTATTTATGGCGCATGTTCCTGCTACGAATAAAACTCGAGGAGCAGTGAATTAAACGTGGAAATTCTCTTCCTGCTTAATCAATCAAATGTTTAAACTGCATCACTATATTGCATTTTTTTTTACCATCCATGTCAAAGGAAAAAATATGCGATTAAATAACAATTTTTAAAACGTCAAGTCATCCTTGTCAATCTATTTCTCGATGAGAATTGGATATCTGTTTGACATTCGGCGAAAAAGCAATTTTTTAAGTTACATTTTTTCGTAAACAGAACACATATAAAACTAGAGGGCACTCAGAGACTGCATACCTCCGCCCGTTACTCGGAAGTGAAACGCAACCTTGGAATTTCCTAAGAAATCCACTTTATAATTCTTAAGCATAAAAGATTTCAGGCCCCCGCGAATTGAAATCGAATTGCTAATAGAACATATTACTGTTGTTGTACTGTACAGTGCTTGTAAAATAAAAACTTATTAAGTGTCATTAAATAAATGCATAAATTTTGCTTTATGCACTCGCGCGTGCAGTAATTTTCACAGTTGTGCTATTTTAAATCCCCAGGCAGCTAAAATCTTTTGTCTTTAAAACAATGTCGATTTCTTGGGAAATTCCGAGGTTGCGTTCTTTTTATACACCCTGTATTGAAGTAATCTAATGTTGTTAGAATTTGAATGGACTGGCACTTTGCTGAACGTAATAATGCGTAACTCTGTAAGCCTTGTTTTAGACATTGAATTTCGGTCGCGTGAAATGCAACTAAGACAATAGATAATGAAGGCCGAAGCTTAATGAGGTTTATCATCTCATTATTGTCTTAGCACTGAGTGCATAAATTATACACGTCCTAATTACGCATTCAGTAATATATTTTGTTAATTGACCGGGAAAAGCAAGACAAGATTTTGTTCATTTCTCGTTCAATTTTTAACCAAATTCAACCAAATTTTAATCAGTTCTTCCTTAGCCGATGGGAAATGCATTCAAAAAATTTCGTACGGATATGTTTGGTATTTCTTGAGTTATCGTGCTCACATACACACACACACACATACACACACACACACACACATACAAACCCAGATGATTACATAACCTCCTGGCGGAGGTAAATATTAATTTGCTTGGCAACCCCCCCCCCTCCGACACCCCGTCAAAAGTACCCCTTCGCCAGTCAAAAGTACCCCCCTCCCCCAATGTTCAGCAACGAAATTTTTGACTAACGTACGAAAAATCCTAGATCCGCCCCTGGTGTGTCAGACAGGAATGTTGAAGAAGGTTGGTCTAAAACCTGTATATAAACTAATTTATTGCTTAGAGATAATATACAGTCCAATTTGCATATAATGCTCTAAGTTTTGCAATTGATCCTTAGTGTAATGTGCCCAGATGCACCATTTATTACTTTATTATTTTACTCTGTCTCCGGCATTTCACTGTGGTTTATTAAAATAAAGTTTTTACCAATTACCTTTTTACCTTACCTTACTCTTAACTTCACTGCAAAGTTGAGGAATACAGTAACATTGTACGAATTTATGATGTAGCAATCACTGAATCAGCAATGAAGGGAGGGACTTGGTTTTGGAGCATTAGCCTAATCATTAATGGTCTCATTTGCACATGACCTGCTGCTGTCATGTATGTTTAATTGTTTACAATAGATCTGACTTAATTGACTTGAATAATACTGCATATGAAGACCTAATATGTGTTTTGAGATGTAAGTTATAATGCTTGATAACAATAACACTAACAACAAAACAACAAAGTAAACAACACATTTGCAAATTTTACACAAAGGCCACTGAAAAATGTAAACAATTGCAACTGACAATGAACTGTAAATTTATCTGGAAGTGTAATTCTTATAATGCACTAGTCAATATTAATCCCAGTCAATGAATAGTAGGCTAACTTTTTACTGTGATTCATGTACAGGTATCTAATATTTCCTATGTATTTTAGAATTGATTGAAATGTCATCACAGCCCATGTTATCAGGTAGATTTTTCAAAATATTTCATACTGCACATGTAATTTCATGTTTATTCTTATCCATTGCCATTGCATTCAGCATCTTGCTATGGAAATGACATTTATCCAGCATTGTGGAAAAGTTAATGACAACGACAATGTCTTACCATTTTGGTTTAGTTGTGTGGAGTATTTATTCTACTTTAACCCATTTACTTTGTCTAACACCAGACGATTTTACTCATGAGCGGTAGAGTACTAGCTGCCACTAAATTGGTTAATTAAGGTCTTAGCTGTTATGCCTTACAGCTAGCTTTGTTGTTCCTTTCAGAGAAATCTTTTGAAGCAATCAACAATGGTCTTGATGAAATTTCACAGGCTAGCCAAAATGAGAATTCTGCAAATGCATCTACTTTCCAAGGTAAAAATTAATGTAGCCAACAAATTTTAATTTCAGATTAACATCTCTTGGTTGGGGGTGATTAAAAAAGGTGGATCTGAATCAATAGCCTATATTTTAATGAGTGTTAATGCACCTATCAATGTTAATCCCCTGAGGGGGGGGGGGGCATACGTGGGGCATTTGATTTTTCGAACAAATAGTCAAAGGAATGAAAGTGTTAATTTGAACAAAACAAATGAAACAGAGACAGAACCAAACCTAACCCAATTAATTATAACGTCACGTTTCAAACAGAAACAAACCGGTAAAATAGTTTAGGCTACTCTATACAATGTACATACCCTAACGTAAATGGTAGTAATTACAAAATGTACCTGATCAGATGAAAAGCCCTATATTTTTAATATAAACGATATTTGTTGTTTAGGAACGTCCGAGTTCCTTTTGAAAAATCCCGAGTTTGTTGAAAATCAGAACGTGGAAAGTGGAATAGTATGTAACAAGGACACTGGAGGGTTGAAGACGTTGCAATGTTGGTCACGAGGAATATTTTTCATTGTCAGTGCAGGTGGTCATATTGATTATTGGCAACCGCTGTACAGGTAACTCGCCTATGCAATTGATAGTAATTTTGGCATTTCCTATTCTCCTTGTACCACATATATACTAAATAGAGAATAACTTTTTAGGTCAGAATCTCCCACACAGGCATTTCTCATAACCGTTCTTTGGCTGCATGGTAAACTTAAACGTTTAAAAGATGTTGGTCATAGCGATGAAAGCATTATTCAAACAATGTCATCAGTTATCCTTGCATATGATAACATGTGCCATTTAGATGGCCTTTTGGTGTCAAAAAGGAATCTCCCCCTTCCTAGGCCCTTTGACCAAGCATGGAAATGTATTGGAAAAGTGATTGATAGGTTGCACCTCCGAAACCATGTTGATACAAAGTGTCAAAAGCTGTACAACCCAGATGATAAAGTGCCAAAAGGTTTCAACACAATGGCGTGTGAGCAAACTTTTATCTGGGCCAGTCGGTTCAAGAAAGTCATGTGTGCTATGCCACATCTTCACCAGTTCTTTTTCCTACACAGACTTGTTCAGTACAGAAACAAGTACACTGAGAAATGCCATTTACACCGCAAAACACCAGTTTTGCCAAAGAAATAGAGTTTCTGTTAATGTCTATAGTGCATGTAACAATTATTAATATGGTTTTTGGGCATGCAGGATTGCAGGGTGTATAAAAAAGTACATTACTGCCATGAACGCATGAAAGTATATTACTACCAATCTGCCATGAACGCATCGTTAGTGTGACGAACGGATTAGCCCCATCAAATTACTGCAATAGGTTATGGCTAATTTGAATTTGAAAGGTGTACTTTTTTATACACCCTAGGCCTGCATAGCGTAAAAATGAATTAATTGTACCTATATTAGCTTTAGACATTGAAACGTTCCTGTAGCTTAGCAAGAATCCAAACAATATGTTATAATCAAGTATTAAATCAAATATTATTCAAGTGCTATATTATTAAAAGTAGATTTTTTCAATGTCACGTAACATACGCTCAAAACTCGATATGAGTTCACAGGCGGCACAATCTCTGAACGTCCTAGATGATTGACAACAAAGTTATTTTGAGTGGTACGCCAAAATGATTTAGGTTTTGAACATTACGCGACATTGAAATTGTTATTTATCAAATTTATGTACAATAGTTAATATCTAAATAATTTATCTAAAATATACTACAGTGGTTTTAACATGTCACCGTAGCTGTCTAAATATTCTAATGACTATCAGGTGTCGTACAACCATCACACAGGAACGTTTTCTGTTTCTTTAACGCTGCAGTGTAGTTGAGGCCAACGCAATTATAATGTACCCATTGCGCACATGCATTGCACTGGATCCAGCCAGTCTTTTTCTTCTTGTTGCAAACATTGCAATTATTTAAATTTTTTGATTGGCCATCATTGTGTCTCTTGGATGACCACTGCGTTTCATCTAAATAAAAGGAGAAGAGGAAAGAAACCAATTTTTATATGGGTATAAAAATATATCTTCGCTCTTGTCACTCATAATTCGCTATAAAGAAATATGACATTAATTAATTTATATAGCAGCAGACACAAGTATACAGAGATGACGAAAACGTTACATGTTGCATATTATCTTTTTTATACTGGACATCTCTTTCAGTTTTAAACTGTTCCCCTTAGAGATCCAGTAAGGGTCATCCCTCAAAAGATCTGATCCTCGGAACGCTAATTTGATTTAAACAATTAAACTCTTTTAAGGCTGCTTTCCAGTCACGTGTTTTTCATACGTGCGTATACGCACGGAAAAGTTGAAATATCTTTAAATGTTATTTATGAAATAACTGAATGAAAGGAAAGCATATAGTTTTGTGAATGATTTAATGTGCATTCATGTAAAGGTCATTCGTACTAGTGAATTAAAACACGTTACTGGAACGAAACCTTTACTCAAAATTTACAATTATCTCAACTCGCCAACGTTTGCATACGTGCTTGCTTCTACAAAGAACTAATTACTGTACCTTCACTCGCGAAGTCGGTTATGTCGCGCTCATCGGCTATTCCTGAAAAACAAAATACTACATATAAAAACCACACGAAAACAGCATAACGAACTTCATACACAGATTTAAAAGTGGATGAAAAACATGAGCTGCGTGCTGATAAAATATAGAACAGAATTCTGGTTACTTGTAACTAATAGTGATTTATCAGAGTCAGCAAAAAATTAATATTAATTATTTTCCTTGTATATAGGGGTTGGATGCAGTGAAATAATTAACATAATTTACTCGCCTTGATATGATTACTTTCAGTAAGTTAAAATTTGACCACATGCATACATATGCGATGGCTTGACGTTTAATAATATTTATAAATTATAATTCAAAAGAAATGAATGTACTAATAATTTCGAATATTTATACAGGATAACCCATTAGCACTCTTGTCCTTTTATCACTAGGTTCCATGAGGAAACCCGCGTATTCCATACATATTATATATTTGTATATTCTCACCTGAGTCATCCAGTGATGTCACACGCATTGTTGGCATTGCAGTCTGTGACAACTGAGATTCTGGAATTACAAATAGTGATGTAAGTCCATTTGGAAAATATTTATAACAAGATTGACGATATTTCCTATCGATGTTAAAGATAATTATCTTGTTATGACTTTGTTTATAAACTAATCTACAATTCCCGAGACAGCTTGAGCAACACTGCTGGAATCACTGCAACAGCTTGTCCTTTCTTGTTGCTTCCTTGTTTGGCTTCTGTATTCTTCCAAGCTCGATTGTGCTTCCATTAACTTACGCTTGATAGTATCCATCTCCTTTTTAAGTAGCTCATTTTGGTCGTCTTTTTCTTTAATTTGCTTTGTCCATCTGCTGTTCACGTCTTCAATTTTTTTCTGACAGTGTTCCTTTATTTCTTTTGTCTCATTCGCATGACTTTCTTTCATTTCTTCCAATTCTCTCTCTCGTTCTTCATATTCTCGACACTCTTCTTCTGTGGTCTCCTCTGCATCTTCTTGGCAGGGTTCTATTCCAAAAACTTTCAAGATAGAAATGACATAATGTTGATACGGTACACTACCAATATACTGGCATTGTTCAGTTGCCCAACAACATGCACACAAACATTCCATTTTCGGAATATACCACTGTCCAAAGTCTTGATACCAAAATAGCTATCAGTTCAAACGTTCATGCGCAAATTAAATATTAATAAATTTCTATTTTTTTTGTATTTTTTATTTACCTTCATTCGGTTACCGTAATAAGGTGTATACGTAAACATTTTTAGCCACTTCAGGTTCATGTCGAGAATACACAAATATAAATTCTAAACCTGAATCTACCTGCGTAATGATATTATGGGTAAGGATTATTAACTTCTTATTAACCGAACGCGATGTCTGCACAGCAACATTTTGTACAAAAAGACCGAGGTAGTTGGAAAGAGGGAAGACTGAAATGGAAGACAAAACACTGAATTGTCTATAGGCAATTTAAGTCTTGCGTTTACAGTTGAGCCCTCCCACACATGACATATATTACAAATATAAATTAAGGTATATCGTGGACGATAGTGTTAACGATAAGTTGATAACTTACGCGTATCAATTTGAACGAGTATCTCATTACTGAAGTTGTGCCGTGGGACTTTGACGCAGCTTATCTTTGATGGCTGATCCTTGAACATTGACTTCAACTCGCTGTTAGCCCCATCGGCCTGTTTCACAAGGTCCCGAACATTTTTGTCTGTGGGTTGGTCGTCTAATTTTGCATCTCGGATGACGCCCAATGCCTTTGGGACAACAAAGACGATTGATGAAAAGTCGGTGTCCTTGTTGCTTCTGACCTTTGGCTGCATCCACTTTGCAACCTGTATGGCAAGAGAAGTAATGAACCGGTTTTAGTTACTTTATAAAAAAACTTGTGCGTGTACTTATGTTGTACATTCATTAACATAAAGTCTTTAAATCAGCATGATAACTGGTGTACAACCATTGCTATTACCTCACATTTCCCTAACTGCATTTGTTGAATCGCTTGTAATACCAAACGAAAGAACTCTTCTAAAGCGGTTATAGCCTTTATGCTGACATCATAAAATGATTTCACATAGGGCATAAACTCGCTAATCAGGTAATGGTCAAAACTTTTCCTACTTATGACGTCTTCGTCATCAACCATTGCAATTATCTGAAAAGCAAGAATACAATGTTATTTTTATATGGATAGGACTATCGCAACTGAACAGATTGGAAATTGCTCTCGATTTCGTAAAACAGCTATTTGGGGGATAATAACGTTTCTTTAAGGTCCGATATGCGATACTTTTTCCAGCTCAGACCATATCATAATATAAAATATTATACATGCATAAAATATAAGATTAAAATGTTTATTAGAATCCTTACCTCGTACGAGAAGAGCCTGTAGACTGAATAAATTTCAGCCAACCGTGGTGGAAATCGTCTCAGATGTGCCTTGAAAAAAGCAATGTGGTTGGCTAACATGTCATTACTTAGGAGTTCACCCATTACTATTATATCTGGAATACTGTGGGTACTTGCACAGCCAAAGATACGGGTTGTTGCTGCCAGGAACTCCGTTACTATTTCCTGGACTTCCCCATCCTCGTTATTTTCATTAGAAAGTTTGTGAAACCATATGGGAGTTGTCCTCTCGAATGACCTGCAGAGAATAAATATTTATATTAATGTATAATTTTGCTACATGCATGCAATTTATTGTAACTGATCATGAAAAGCAAATTTTCAAACGCGAAATAACACATTTAGTTTCCAATGTACGTATTAAGATAACTGATTCAAATGATTTCATAATTATATAAAGGCGAGTGGGTCACCCTTTTGTTCTTCCCACATTACAGTGGAAAAAGTTTTGAAAATCCATAGAATGGAAATTGTATGCGGACCTTTATTGGAAATAGAATGAATTTTTGATTATCCATAATAATTGTATGTTTCCATACTATGGATATAGTATCGTCAACGAAATGACCGGGCAATCAAACAACTTGTGGACGATTTTTCTCTTATTAGAATGGTAGTAGCAAGAAAAACATTCGTCTTAGTTTGAGTCTAAACTCGATCAATACAATAGCCGTTTATTGTTATACCTGTATGTCAACTGAAATCCCAAAATTACGTCATTGCAAACAAAGAATTAAGTTTTGCCACTGACAATTATAGTCAAATGTGAACTGTACAATCCATTTGGTATTATAACTGTTCTTTAAATATCAGATACCCATCCATAGTTCTTTTGACACTTGGATCGTACATTTGAATATTAACTGCTTGTCATGGCTACTTTCATTGAAATAGCTGTATATATAAAAAGCATATTACCTCATATCATCGCTCATTTTAAAATTGACAGTCAATAAAAATGTCGTCAATGGTTTCTCATCGCCTCTCTCCTGCGTCTGATTCCCTAGGCCATTGAAGACTGACACAAGTGGTGAACGCAATACACTGGCATGGGTAGGGTCATCCCAGCAGGTGGGGATTGTAGATTTCGTCACCTCGGATATCACAAACTCTGCAGAAGATTGTGACACACTATGCATTCCCATCAATGCTCCGACCAACTTCAAAGCAGTTGATTTTCCGCTAGTAGGTTCGCCCACAGCAGTAGCAACAGGACATGCATCTACAAAATGAATTTATGTAAAAACTCGTATTGTTGTAATGCGCAAATCAAATCGAAACCTTGACCCCCCCCCCCCACGGGCATACCTGGGGAATTTGCTTGTTTAGTATTTGAAGAAGGTGGGAATCGGGAGTTTGAACTTTTTTCTAGTGGGAGGTGGGGAATTTGCTTAGGGGGTCGGGAATTTGAATTTTTCTTTTTTACACGTGTGCTGAATCCAAAATGGCGTCAATGACAATGGATGAGTTCAAGTGCGAAGAAATTAACTTTGTCCTTGGTTGGCTACAAAAGAACGGCTTTGAACGATTGAAAAGAGTTTCTGAAGGAAAGAAAAACTTTGTAATTCCAAAATTACGAAATGCTGTAGCTTTCAATTCGTACGTGAGGTTGGGTATTTAACCTGACCAAAACGTCAAAATCCAAATTCCCGGGGGGATGTCAAGGTTTCGATTTGATTCGCGCATAATCTTGCATTAAGTCAATCGTTAACATCATGATATTTTTGGAAAATATCCATGATATCAATCTAACCCGAGAAAATTTTTAAGTAACGCACGTACAACTGTATTGTCTGTAACTATATATACAGCTATACTGTACTGTATATAAAGATCACATGCATGGTTGGTGAGCGTGTACGATTTTTATTGACGAGTTTGTATAAAATTGCATACGAACTTGTGAGAAATCGTACAAACGAACCAACCATGCAGTAATTTGTTTATTATATATGTCTAGAGTATTTAAAACTCATGAAAGGCTCACAGTCACAGCGAACAACACGGAAGCCAAATATTGAAGCTTTAAAACAAGGTTGTTTACAGTTTATTTCTTCATTATTTGGCTTGCTCCCTTCATTTCATTTGCATATATAGCCTTTACATATATAGTTGACCTCATCCCACCCTTCGCACATATAATGAATGCACTTCAAGGCAGATATATGAAAATATCAAACTTACGAATTGTTTTCAGCATTTTCTTGAAGTGAAAAGCTCCTATTCCACCCTTAATAACAAAATGAACGGCATGAAATTCACACCGAAAAATTCCTTCGACTTCTGAACAAGAGTATGCCAATTAAATGCTCGTATGGGCAATTCAAATTGGACAGGGTGGGCATGGAAGAATGCCTTTGGAATGGTTTTGTCAGTCATGGCAGTGGGCATAAGTGGAAGGAAGGGTACCATCCAAATATGTCGCCATTCTGGTTCATGAAGTACGCCATTTCTGGTCAGCTGTAAAAAAAACAGCATATGTTTCTCTTTCGTTACTGACAGTAGTGGCTGTAGTGCAGCCGTGCAGGGTAGCAACTTTTTTTAGCAAAGTCAGTCTGGGGATGAAGATTTTTATCACACCAACCTAAGCAGGGCTTGCTTTTCTTTAACAACATATTCAAGATCAGTGAACTCAATGTTTTTATCATTAAAAAGGTTCACTGATCTTGAATAATCCTTGATTTTCCTAGTTAGTTGGTTTTTTTCAATTGAAAGGGTTGTAATTCGCCTTAAAAACCATCATTCAAAAGGCTGAACTGTGCCTTTAATTCAGATAAACGCTATATTATTAATTTTGGTATTGTTATCAGTTGACTCGAAATTTCACAAGAAATTATATACTTACTTGTACATTCTCGTTCAAAATGTAAATGGCCGAATCAAAATCGCCTTTCGTTTTAACGTCGGTATCCTCCTCGTCATACCAACCCGGTATTTCCTCAAGGTATTCGCCAAATTGGTCAACCTTTTTAAGGTTTCTTTGACGGCCAAGTGTAAAACTCCCGGTGAGTTCTCTCGGGTTATTTGTGGCAAACTCGCAAACTACCGACATGACATATGAACTTAGTTGTTCATTGTTGACCCCCTGCCAGAAAATTCCGCCGTGCTCGTTGAACGATCGATTTATGACTGCTTTAAAGTTTTTGGCAGAATCCATTTCGTCAATAGTTGTGTAACACTTCCTATGAAAGTAAAGCCAAGCATGTCATAGAAGGACATCAGAAAATTTAACAATTACATTATGAACTCAAGATTTCTACGAGGTGATCATGATAGTGTCAACACGGAAAATGTTTTATCGGTGTATCAAAAAAGGGTGTATAAAAAATTATCTCATACTTAGAGCGTATTAGCGGCTTTCCTATTGGCTACGAGGAGGTGCGTTCAATCTCGAACCCACCTGCTGACGTATGTTTAGGAGGTGGGTTCGAGATCGATGTTTTGGCGGCGGCCATTATGAAGTCTATGAAGCGATTTGAACAAATTTCAGACGAAGATTTAAGTAAAAAAAATAAATTAACTGTTTTTAGTTGTTTTATAATTATTATTTTTTTTATTTTGTGTGATGAAAATGGAATGTTCTGCATTCAAAGTGGAAAAAAAGAAAGATGGCCGCCGAAATTTGTTCGGCACGAGCAGGTTTATATAAATCTTGGCATAGTTTTTGCAGCATGTGTTCATTTTCTCTTTTGCAGATTAAGGGAGTATTGTAGCGAATTTTTTTTAGCTTTAATTTAAGCCTAAGTTTGTTTGTTTGCATGCGTAGTATGTTGGTGGCTAAAATGTTCGTTATCCAAACACGAAATTATATACTAAAAAGTAAAATGCGTATAAAATTCTTCAGTACTTTTTAGTATTTTACCGAAATGGCATGTGATAAAAACCAAACATACTAGCAGGTTCGGTGAGTCCGGGATTGGACGCACCTCGGGTGGCTGGAAGTTTCCCGAACTCACCTCGCTTCGCTCGGTAAGTTCGGGAAACTTCCAGCCACCCTCCGTGCGTCCAATCCCGGACTCACCTCCCTGCAAGTATGTTTGTTATAAAACCTGAACAGATTTGAAATTGCTCTCAATTTCGAAAAACAGCTATTAGTATCCAGTTTTTTATGTATATAGCTTCCTTGGGTACTTATAATGTAGAATAACGAACAAAATTTCTGGAACTCGAATTTTGTGAACCAGAGGGGGTGTCTTTTCCAACAAAATAAAAATGGCTTGCACACGAAATTTAAAAGCTTTAATAGATGGAAAATGTGTTAGGTTTTAATCACTGTACAAAATTTAAGACAACTTGCTTTAGTTTAAGGCCTTTAACTATTCATTTTTTCCTAAAAAATCAGCCTTTCGCATGCTTGTTTAATGGGAATAATGCTTTTACCTAACAGTAATTAAAAACCCAACAAACTTTCCATCTATTAACTCAAAATATGATTAAAGCTTTTAAATTTCGTGCGCACGCAATTTTTAGTTTGTTTGAAAAGACACACACACCCTGATTCACAAAATTTGAGTTCGGAAAATTTGTTTCATTATTCAATATTATAAGTACCCAAATAAGCTATATACATCAAAAACTGGATACTAATAGCTGTTTTGCGAACTTGAGAGGACATTCATATCCAGAAACGTCACAGACTTGCTGCAAGTTGCGGATTTTACCAGCATGCTGCAAGTTGTCAACAAGTTGCAGCAGGCTTGTTGACGTCATCAACTTGCAGCAAGCCTGTTGAAATTTGCAGACTTGATGCACGTTGATGAAACTACTTGTATCAAATCTGCAAATGTCAATTTGCAGCAAACCTGATAGAACAATTTGCAGTAAGTCTGGTGAATGCAGCAAGTCTAATGAACACATCAATGCTGATGCAAATTGAGAAAATCAGGCTTGCTGCAAGTTGTCACATGCAAGTTGTTTCATCAACTTGCATCAAGTCTGTGGATATCAAGTTTTGACAAATCTGATAGAACAACTTGCAGCAAGTCTGATGAACGCATCAATGTTGATGCAAGTTCAGAAAATCAGGCTTGCTGACTCCAAAGACAGTGTACGAGACTTCCAGGATTCTGAAAATCCCTTGGGATTTTTCCCCCAAGATTTTGTGGGGAGTTTTCAGCATTTTATACGGATATATTAGGGATTTTCGGGGATTTTTTATGGATTTTTTCTAGATGTACAAGATTTTTTTGGAGTAATACACTATCAGTTGTTGCAAGTTGACAAGTCTGATAAAATAACTTGCAGCAAGCCTGTTAGAATCAGGCTAGTGACTAGTGTTGCAACTTGACATTTGCAGTAGGATATGACCAGGCGGCAATTGACTAAAGAAACGGTATATATGACGCAATTAACGGAAACCTTAATTACTTGTATAAAACACCTAGTAATCCGACAAAAGAACATGCCCTCACACACGCCTTGCCCAGGTGCAAATTTAAAGTTCAGTGCCAATGGCAAGCGCACAATGAGAATTAAAGTTATATTACTAAATTAGCATATCTCTACTCCTACATTAACGTATATTAACGTATATATGCGTGCAGCTACTAAACAACGCTGAAGAAAATATTTCTATGAAATACGATCTTTACTTACTACAAACACAACATTGGATAAAATCCTTTGCTGCGGCGGCATAAAGAGCCTGTGTATATTTGTATAACATCTGTCTTTTGATGACATGCACTGAAGATGGAAGAAACATTGTTCTATTTCTCTGCAGCGCAGGCTGTCTTTTGCATGCAAAATTTTCCTTTGCCAATTATCTTTCGTTTATAAACTTCAAAGGCACATTTTTCGCAAAAACTTGAAATATATGACATGTGTTCCGACACTCCTGCACTCCACAATATTGTGACGTTTTGTCTAACACGATTGGAAAGAAGGCAATACTTCCGGAGTAAAATATCTAAAGACGCATCATAGACTCCGAAAATGAATGGAAAGTTAGTGCGCATTTCAAGTTTAAACGCGCGCTATTTTAATACTAATACTAAAGGTCCAGATACACCGGACGCGACTCGACAACGCGATTTTTTAGTTTTTGAAACTTAATAAAATAGCCATTGAGAGCAAATTTTGGAAGATAGGTAGACCAAATAACTCAAAATGTTATAGCGCTTCTACTGAATATTTGTAATATCAGTGAAAATCGAAAAATTGCGTCACGTTTTTGTCGAATCGCGTCCGATCTGGACCCGTTATTCGTTAATAGTCTTTAATATGTAAATGTCAGTATACTTACATTGACACACCATCATTGCGGTGAACGTCAAAAACGTAGCCATTGTATTTACGGTGGGTTTTACGGAACTTCACAAACGCCTTGATTGTGAAATAAAAATTTGCGACGCATTTATATCTGTTCTTTTCAATTTTGGAATGAAGCGCTTTCACTCCACGTTGGTCTTCCCTCACTGATAGAGACTTCGCCGGTGACGCTGGATTTGCATTTGCCATGTTGAAGCTACTAAAAACAGAAAGAAAAAAACACTTATGTTTCTTGCTAGTTTCTTGCTTTGTAAATCTAACTCTATATTCATGCAACAAACAAACAAACAAACAAACAAACAAACAGAAGTATATACTTACTATATATATCTGACAGGTTCCAAAACTTGTTGGTTTGTATTCTTTCCTCTTTTTCGTCTTGTAATCACTAATCAGCACCCGAAGTCTACTGTAAACTCGAACTAGCATGCAAGCTATAGGCTTAAACTTAGAGTAACTCCGACTTTTATCCTATTTCCAAACAATGGGTGTTTTATATGGCAAACAATGAAGTCTATTGAAAAGCACAGCATGTAGCACTTCAACAATGCCTATATTGTATAGTAAAGATATAGATTATAGCCAATATAGGTTATATGATGAGAGAACTGTATATTCTTAAATTCAATTTATTTACCACTGACTTCATTCAGTTAATTTACATTGATTATTATAATAAAATTTAGGTATATTTATATTTATGTATGTCAAATTGAAAGGAAAGGGAGAGGCGAGAAGACCTCAGGAAGTCAAAGACTAATTGTATTAAGAGGCCATGTCATTGACATTGTTATTCAGAAAAAAATTAAGGCAAAATTTTTAAAATTATTTGTTGCATGTATAATTGAAGCTCCTATATATGACATGTACATGCACTAAATGTTTTCAATCAAATATTTTTGCAATTTTCGTTTGAAAGAAGAAGTGATATTTATTCCTGTTATTGTGATGAAAGCCTATTGGCGTATTGCTTATATTAGTCTGTTGCCTGTATTGTAGTCATGCATATATAGCTGAAATAGTAGCAATATGTCACTATAGATCAATGCATAAATATTACGATAGCACGGCAAAACTGCACTATATCGTTCATAGATCAATGAAATAAATGTTACGATAGCACAGTAGAACGGTGTCCCAGGATTTTCGCCCCCCCCCTACATTTTCGCCGCCCGGGGGGCGAAATTCCTAGGAATATCGCCCCCCCCAGGGGGGTGAAAATCCTAGGAATTTCGCCCCCCTTTAGGAAATTCGCTCCCCTTTAGAAACTTCACCTTTTCTTTAGGATTTTCGTCCTCCGTTCAAAATTTCGCCTTTCCTAACAGTTGCATGGGATAATTATTACATGGCTTTAATCATTTGAAATCAGTATCAATTCAAAATTGTTAAGACAGAGCTTGAAATAACAACCGATCACTGATCAATGATCGGCAAGGAATTGTTTATGATCGGCGGAAAAGCAGGGTTTCGGTTTCCAACCTGAAAAAAGCAGGGAAAGTCGCGACTGCCGATCACCATGATCGGGAACTTTGGGAACGTTATTTCAAGCCCTGCATGTAAGAATACAAATTTACAATTACATGTATCGAAAGGGCTTTACACAGTTACAGTAGATCAATACTCAATAGGACTTATGACGCTTCACAGCACACCATGCATATTTTGCATTTTCAGTGTTAATCCTTAAACTCATTGTTAAAAAGTAATCACCATGGTGGTTATTGTAATTATTGGTATTGTTTTGCATCCACGTTTTGTCGTTCTCGGAAAATGTATGGTTTGTCACTATTTTTCCCCGAGCCGGCGGCGCGAAGCGCCGTGCGAGGGTACTAATTCCCCCCGGCTATTTACACCCGGGGAAACGAAAGCATTAGGGAAGTCTGAAGTCCATCAAATATCGCGGGCGTGGGTCACTGTGCGTGTTTCGGTGGGTGGTCATCCTCACTGATCTCAAAAATGTGGCGGACTGTCATGAATAGCGAACACTGATTGGTCAAATTTAAAATTTGTTGTTGTACGACGAATGACGACTTCAACTGACAGATACTTCATGAAAATATTTTGCTTTTTGCACTGCAATATTTTGTACGTTTGCAAAAAACTTTGACAGCTTTCAAAGCAATTTGTTCTATAAAAAGTTTAATAAAACAATTACGGTATCAAATACCAATTGAAAAGATATCGACTACTGTATGGAGCCAAATGAAGAGCGGCAAGGAAACGACAAGAAAGCCGAACGTCTAGCGAAAAGGAGGGAGCTAGCGAAGACGACAACGTTTGCTTGAGGAGACTGCTGAGGAAAGAGAAGCTCGCCTGGGAAAGCGTAGAGAAGCATGGAAAAAAAGACTGCTGAAGCGAAAGGTAAGCAAAGGCTTGTCTTCACAACGCTATGTACCAATGATACTGTAGCTATATATACAAGTTGAAGTATGATATTCGACCCTCTATATTCGACTATTTCTTGATTTCTTCACAATTTTCCAATAAAGAGTTTGTCATGACACGCTCAAGTCAGTATAACCAGACTGTATTTTATTTATATCAGTTATCACAGCCACAGGCAATTTTATGCTGTCAAATACCGTCGGTTGCAACTAAAGGTGAACAGTTGCAACTAAAGGTGAACAGTTGCAGATAAAACATTCTCTATTCTCATTAAAAGGCCTGTAAAAGTTTCCAGTAAGTCTCTAGCCCAACACGTTCAGACCACACAAAGTTTTGTTACTTATTATTGTCCACTGTACACATGGGAAACAACAATTAAGTGTTGTTGTTCTTGACAAACATTGAAGATTCTAATCACGCGAATGTTTTTATGAGCAACTGTTCATCGTTAGTTGCAAGCGACGGTACAAACATTTTTCCGACTGTGACCGAATGTGCAACGATATATTTTTCAAAGTTGTTGTCAATTCCTAAAATTTGTTTATAGTAAAACGGCCTGCTCAGCACTCACTACTCACGATGATTTCATTTAGAAATGCAGTTACCAGGAAAGGAACTGATTCTAAAATATGTAAATTTAAAAGCATTGGCTAACAGAATAAAGCGATGTGAAGACAAGGTACAAACTTTTATAGTTGCTATTTGTTATAAAATCCTATAAATAAACCGATTCAACAATAATATTGCCTCGAATTTGCATATTCTATGCCGCATGTTTATATTTTATTTTTATAGTATAAAAATAAAATTGTAATACTATGAAATAAAATACATTTCTATTTATTGACCAGTACTTATTTAATGTTTTCTTCATCCAGTGGTCAGAGTAAATTTCTACTTCTAGCAAGTAAATATTTGACAAGCAGTTTGGAATAAGCACCGGACTTTTAATGCATCAGCCAAATCCAAGTGTGCCCATCCCCCTCGCCCAGCCATTTTCCTGTAAAGCACATCCCGGGGGCCGGGGGTTGGGTATTTCCACTCGAACCTTAGCCCCGGCGGGGCATTTGAAAATAACAATTTCGATTCTTGCACTTCACTTGGTGGAATTAATATTAGAATGTTAGGGTTTGTAATCCACGTGAGAATATATACATGTATATATTTTGTAATCCAAGTGAGAATATTTTGTAATCCAAGTGAGAATATACAAATGTATAGTACATGTATATATTTTGTGTATATATTTTGTAATCCAAATGAGAATAGTTTGTAATCCAAGTGAGAATATACCAATGTATATATTCTCACTTGGATTACAAACCCTAACATTCTAATATTAATTCCACCAAGTGAAGTGCAAGAATCCAAATTATTGAAGTCCACTTTATCACAACCCGCACACCCGATAACCTAAATATACATGAACTTGCGGTTCAAGCTCAACAGCTGGCCTCTGTAGCTCAGTTGGTTAGAGCGCTGCACCGGAATCGCAGGGCCGTAGGTTCAATTCCTACCAGAGGACCTTGTGCTGCATTTTTCGCAGTCGTTCCTGGTTAGGTCTTAAAATGTATATATTCTCACTTGGATTACAAACCATAACATTCTAATATTAATTCCACCAAGTGAAGTGCAAGAATCCAAATTATTGAAGTCCACCTTATCACAACCCGCACACCCGATAACCTAAATATACATGAACTTACGGTTCAAGCTCAACAGCTGGGCTCTGTAGCTCAGTTGGTTAGAGCGCTGCACCGGAATCACAGGGCCGTAGGTTCAATTCCTACCAGAGGACCTTGTGCTGCATTTTTCGCAGTCGTTCCTTGTTAGGTCTTAAAATGTATATATTCTCATTTGGATTACAAACCCTAACATTCTAATATTAATTCCACCAAGTGAAGTGCAAGAATCCAAATTATTGAAGTCCACCTTATCACAACCCGCACACCCGATTACCTAAATATACATGAACTTACGGTTAAAGCTCAACAGCTGGCCTCTGTAGCTCAGTTGGTTAGAGCACTGCACCGGAATCGCAGGGCCGTAGGTTCAATTCCTACCAGAGGACCTTGTGCTGCATTTTTCGCAGTCGTTCCTGGTTAGGTCTTAAAATGTATATATTCTCACTTGGATTACAAACCCTAACATTCTAATATTAATTCCACCAAGTGAAGTGCAAGAATCCAAATTATTGAAGTCCACCTTATCACAACCCGCACACCCGATTACCTAAATATACATGAACTTACGGTTAAAGCTCAACAGCTGGCCTCTGTAGCTCAGTTGGTTAGAGCGCTGCACCGGAATCGCAGGGCCGTAGGTTCAATTCCTACCAGAGGACCTTGTGCTGCATTTTTCGCAGTCGTTCCTGGTTAGGTCTTAAAATGTATATATTCTCACTTGGATTACAAACCTAGCTAACATTCTAATATTAAGTCCACCAAGTGAAGTGCAAGAATCCAAATTATTGAAGTCCACCTTATCATAACCCGCACACCCGATTACTTAAATATACATGAACTTACGGTTAAAGCTCAACAGCTGGCCTCTGTAGCTCAGTTGGTTAGAGCGCTGCACCGGAATCGCAGGGCCGTAGGTTCAATTCCTACCAGAGGACCTTGTGCTGCATTTTTCGCAGTCGTTCCTGGTTAGGTCTTAAAATGTATATATTCTCACTTGGATTACAAACCCTAACATTCTAATATTAATTCCACCAAGTGAAGTGCAAGAATCCAAATTATTGAAGTCCACCTTATCACAACCCGCACACCCGATTACCTAAATATACATGAACTTACGGTTAAAGCTCAACAGCTGGCCTCTGTAGCTCAGTTGGTTAGAGCGCTGCACCGGAATCGCAGGGCCGTAGGTTCAATTCCTACCAGAGGACCTTGTGCTGCATTTTTCGCAGTCGTTCCTGGTTAGGTCTTAAAATGTATATATTCTCACTTGGATTACAAACCCTAACATTCTAATATTAAGTCCACCAAGTGAAGTGCAAGAATCCAAATTATTGAAGTCCACCTTATCATAACCCGCACACCCGATTACCTAAATATACACAAACTTACTGTTAAAGCTCAACAGCTGGCCTCTGTAGCTCAGTTGGTTAGAGCGCTGCACCGGAATCGCAGGGCCGTAGGTTCAATTCCTACCAGAGGACCTTGTGCTGCATTTTTCGCAGTCGTTCCTGGTTAGGTCTTAAAATGTATATATTCTCACTTGGATTACAAACCCTAACATTCTAACATTTGAAATTAAGGATTTGGAGGTTTTGCGATCACTGATAACTTGATAATAATATAAAACAAAACACTTCTATCTGCAACTTTTACAATCACTGATAACTTGATAATAATTTAAACCAGTCAAGTTGTAGTTTAAATAGAGAATAATGCATGGGTGCACGAAATACCAGATTTATTTTGAGTGTTGAACATGAGTGTGCAGCGAACAAGTGAGCGCAGCGAACAAGTGAGCGCAGCGAACGAGTGAGATGTCATGTTCAACACAAAAAATAGATCTGGTATTTCCAACCACCCATGTATTTTTCTGTTTATTCTATAAAGGATGGTCTTAAATGAAAAGCGATAATTTTTACAGAAAAGCGATAATTGAAAAGGCGATAATTTTAATTCACATGTGAGATTATCATGAATAATTTCACATGTGAGATTATCATTTTTATCAGTGCTCGAAATCTCTGTAAAACACTGTACTTTATATAATAAAAATTCATAAATTTGAACCATGCTAGAGCATGACAACAGCAAAAGCTCTATAGTATGATGCACAATATTTTGGGAGGTGAAATACACGAACAATAAATCAGAGAGTGTTTGCTTGGAACTCACTGGGGGGGGGTGGGTGGGGGGTGCAACACCCCTGATAATTGCTCATGAGGAATTTCAGGTAGATTTCCAGTGCACTTTTAGGTAAATTTAAGTAGATTTGCAGAAGATTTTCAGGGGAATTCAGGTAATTCTCAGGACATGAGAAAGTGAATTTGGAAAACAACTGTATTTTCGGAAAAATTATTATATGTCCTGAAAATTTTTTGTACATCTGGAAACATTTTGGTAACCACCCCCCTCCCCCCTCTATCTAACCTCACACACACCCTGAGACGAAGTGCTAGCAACGGCACTGAGTATACATCTTTTGAAAACAGGCGAGGGGTTATTGCATGCATGTATTTCTAGTAGTACCATAACTTACGAAAATCTGCTTCCACTTTGACAGTGGCCTCTCCATTTTTGAATTTCGGATAGACAACAACAACTTGCTCGGAACCATCTGATTTCTTAATCTTATTATCTCGGTTCAGATTGATGTTGAAATGTATGGCTGCAAGGATGTGCCTAAATTAAAAAATATAAACAAATGATCCATATTCAATGCGAAAAGGAATTTTGTGTCTGCAGGGTTTGAATTAGCAGTGTATCATGTGCAATTTGCACATCATTATGGCCAAAATAAAAAAAAATTGTGCACACACATTTCTAAAAATGATATGCAAAAAAAATTTTAACTTATAGATGACCTCCATAGTGTTCTCCTATAGTTACCAATATATCCCTTAACTAATTCAAACCCTGTGTGTCAAAAGATGGAAAGAGTATTCATAATACAAAGGCCTTTTTTAGCAGGAGGTTAAAATTACAGTGCTGTACCTGATGTACATTCCAGGATATGAGAAAGCAATCATCTTCGGTGCGAAGTGGTTAAGAACTGAGTGGAAGCCTTCAAGGCAACTTGTTTGGGCGATAGTTGATGCTTTCTGGATTCCAGACTTCAATCTTTTCTTTGTCAATACCTTCTTTACTTTCTCATACACAACTGACTCTAAAAGATATAGAGGATAGCATATTTTATATACATAGTACAGCATATTTAGACACTTCTAACCAAGGGCAGATTTTCATTTTTTTAAAAGGAGGGGTGGAAAAAACGAGAACATTTTTATTTATCTACGTTTCGACTATATTTCAGTCATCATTCTAGTGGGGTGGGTTTAACCCCCCCCCCCTCCCCCCAGTAAATCTGCCCATGCTTCTAACATTTTCATGGTCACTCACTCTCATCCAACCATTTTCGATGTTCAATTTCAACATCATGGGCACACTTGTTGAAAATAGGATCTTCCAAATCCACATGCTTATCAACAACATGCTCCAGAAATGATTTGAATTTGGCCCAAATAACTCTTCCATCACCAGAAGAAGTAGATGTCGCACTCCAATGTAGGTGGTTCTGGCATGGTCGTATCCACGGTTGGATTTCTTCACAATTGGTCTCCTTTCCAATGTTAGTCAGTACTTTACCAACTTCTATAAAAAAAACATTTAAAATTAAAATCCAATAATGAAATGCTTCCACCTTGTTTCAATGTAGGTCTAAACAATCAGCACAAAGTGTAAACAAATTGCTAACTTCCTGCCAAAGGGCCTTTGCTTGAAACATTGACATTGTTAGTGTTTTAGGTAGCGATCCATTGGACCCAATTTGTTATACATGTCTTCTAAATAATCTGTAATGCAATACTTACTTTTTCTCAGGTGCCATAAATCAAAAAAGTGCTTTATTTTCTGTTCTTTTTCCTTCATGTGCTTGGCAATTGATCCATGGCGGTCAGTGACAAGAGCCTCAAATGAGAAGTCAGACTCTGCCAGAAAATCCAGGCATTTCTGAAATAGTAAAGCCAAGTACTCCATTGCCTGACTGCTACCAGCTTCATTCCTCTGTTAACAATAAGAAGTAATAATAAAATTGTTTGACTCATTGCATGCAATTACACTCCTGTTAGGAATTCTGTTTTATATTTTTAATCTAATTGGGGACAACAATTTTTGTTTTTATACCTGGACAAGTGAGAAATCAATTATAGCAGGTTCTGTGCAACAAAATATTGTGTAGGCACAATACTTAGCACTATGCCCCATGCTATCGTGCCTTCCATCTCCTGCTAATACCAGAGGTTCTTCGTTGCTTTTTAGTTGGTCCATCAATGCTTTTTGGTATTTTTTCCAATGTTTCAGAATAGCTGGAAACAGTTTGTCCTTCACATAAAAATAATAAAGATGAATAAGAATTAACCCATCAAGTGGTATCACTATCCCCCTGCCAAGTAAAATCTTATGGCATTAAACAGTAAACAGTTAACAGGGTGCATGGGCAGTCTGAGTATTCCATTGAGTGGCAGCACTCTCCCTCCAATGATTAAGATTATTTGGTGTTAGACAGAGTAAAATAATAAAGTAGGGCGCATATGGACACATTGCAAAGGGGAAAACATCAATTATTTTTATATACATTAAATTAAAATTAAATCACAGCTGACCAATGCAATGAGTTACCAGTAACATGACAGTGTATATATGGAGAAATAGTCTCATAAATAAAGCCTCAACCAAATTCAAATCAATCCATAATATTATTGGACTTTTATCATTTACTTTATCCAATCAAATTTCAAGCCATTCTGTTGAACAGGCCTTGTGTTTAATAAGGAGAACTACTAAAAAAATTTAACACAAGGCAAGATCAACTGTAAATTTGACAAGTAAGTAAAACAATATTATGAATAAATTTGTTAATTAATAATACACAAACAAGATTGATGACACCAGCCTGCACATGGCCACTCATGATTAACTATCACAAGTGTTCTGTTATGTTAGGCACTGAGTCATTAAAAAGCAATGAATGTTAATCTCACCCTCTGATGATTGTAGAAGGTTCTCAGTGAAATGCATGACAATCCCATATGAGAAAGGACTCTCAGCACTTTGCTTGCAGAGGCTCCAGCCAACAAGATTGCAAAACTTAAGAGAAAGTTTCCTGCAGTTATTTTGGTTCCTTCCATGTTTGGTTGACTATGCCACACAGACTCTCTTTGTTTGCACTCAGGATTACCACATTGTGTGTACTGTAACCATTGTGCCACATTCAGTAGTTTCGACCAGTGGGTTATCAGCTTTGCACGATGGACAAATATTAAAAAGCAGTAACAGTTGGGAAAGGAACACTACATATTTGGGCTCTGTCCGAAGGTTGCCATTAGGTTTATTAGTGCTAAAAGACAGGATGTAAAACTTAATTGAATGGCAATAACAGTATAGTTTACAAGCCTGATCAAAGGCTGTTGAGGCCGATTCACTGATCAAGTAACCACAAAGACTGACAGACATTGCTTCGCAACATCCGGCCAGGACACATGTGGATTATTTTTGTGTCCCACCAGGACACATGTGGATCATTTTCTTAACATGGCTTCTTATATTATTATAGTATAACTATGACATTTGTGATGTCCAGCATTAGTGAAAAGTGTCAGTCCAGAGGTGTCAGTCATCACCCAGTTGGTGCCTGAAAAACTGTCCACAGCACCACTCTCCATGGCACCCTTCAAAAAATATTTTTAGGCTTGATAGTTCACCAGTGAAAATATCACAGCAACAAAGTCATCTAAGGGCTATAATAGAAGATAAATGCCAAAGCAAATAGTAATAATTTATAATCTTATTTACCTGGTCTCGATATTGGATGATTGATCAGATTCCTCTTCTGTAAGTTCTGTTTCCATTTCATATTCCTGAGAACTTCCCTGAGATGGTTCATCATCTGTACTTTCTGAGTTCTCAACAGTTTCAAATTCCTCGCCGGTGGTTTGTGGGTTTTCTCCTGCAGACTTTTCTACTATTTCAATGAATTAAATCTCTAATAAAATACATACAGCATGGCATATGGTGACCAATAACTACAGTAGCATACACACTGTATTATCACAGTTAATAAATACAGTCTATACTGAGGCTAGCAATAACAGACATTATAAACATTCATTACAGCATACAAATTATATAATATATAAGATCTGAGGAGGTGGGGACCATGTCTCTTGTATTAAAATATTAATTCAAGCCCAAGGAGCTTACTTGAACATAATTCAGCGGTGATTTTCTTCTCCTTGATCAATTTATGATTCTCGTCCACAAGTTTATTACGAAGAAGTCTGTTTTCCTCTTGCATGGTGACACATTTGTCACACACGTGTGTGGCTATTGTTTGAGTGAATTTCTCACTTTGTATCCGTTCATCGTCCTTTGAGGTCAAACAAAAACAATTGGTAAATTGTGGATAATCATACATATGGTGTAAACCAGCCTCACAATGTGTATTAATTTTATAAATATGTATTTAATAACAAAGCTAAGTTTGTAACAAACCAATTTGCGGTATGCAAATTTAATACAAAGAATTAAAGTGAAGTGTTACATGTAAATATTTACCGAAACAATGCTTCCTGCTGCAGAGCTGCCATGATGCACAGTTTCCTCCATAAAACATCTATTTCTCCCAACTCAGTTGATGTAGATGGCGTAGATGTTTGTTGCTCTTCTGCGGTTGTTGCATGTTGTTCTTTCGTAATCTATAAAGGGGTTTTTGCGGTAATCAATAGAAATATTGTGAAATTTATTATATCGTATTTATAAATATGCGAATGTTTTTCAATAGTGTCTCACCTTGCGTCTAAGCGCTCTTGCTGTTCTCTTTGATGTTGTATCTTCGTCGCCTTCGTTGGCAATCGAAAGTGTTGGAAACGATGAAACACCGACTTCATCTTTTTTCAGCCACGGAATGTACGTTGTTTCTTGCCCAGGCAAATTTACTTTGCGAACAAAGGCGTCCGGTTCAAAATGCTTCGAGCATATGCAGCTTGTACTGGAAGGCTCCCATTTAGCGCGTTTGCGCTTAACAAAATCGACCCAGCGCTTGCGTCGTTTTATCGGCTCTGGCCTCGAATCACCATCGTAAGGAATCTTGTGAAGTATTACACCGTTTTTCGGATCAGGAGTGTTAGAACAGCCAAATACAACACAATGCGAAGGCATTTTACATTCGCATGCTTGGCCAAACAATAGTAAATTGATAGTAAATTGAAACTAGAACAATCACTTCCGTTCCCGATTTGACGTCACAAGCCTTATTCGGACCCAGACTCATTTCTCCCGGCCATGTTTAGAAAAAAGGCAGGTTTAGAGCCAAATATCTAAGACAATATTTATCGGATAAGGGAATGCATTATATCATTAGAATCGTCTCGCCATGGCCAATTTTTCAGTGAAAAAATGAAAATTCTTTCATATGCACTTTAAATTTTTTGATAATTTCGTAATTCATATCCCAAAAGATGAAAATTGGTTGTAATATAGATATGTATTAATTTAGTAAATGAATTTTTTTTTGTTTTTATATAAATTTATGGAGATATTGCCCCTTTAGGTGATGAGTGACATGAAAAACAAAGTGTCACTGCTTGATAAATGAAAATACTGACTGAAAAAACTAATGATATATATAGGTATGCAAGGTCATCTAAACTAAATTTGGTCAATCATATATCATTCATGTTTGATTGAAAAGATCAGACTTTTTTATGCAATTGTTTCCGAGATATTGCCATTTTGGTGAAAGCTTGGAATTCAATCATGAATTTGCCATATTGCTTGCCACTTTAGGGGGGTGGTAACATTGTAACAGCTTGCCAGTTAATGAGTTAAAGAATCGATGAGCGACCCGAATAAATATGCGGAGACTATTACTAGACAGGACGCTTTAAGCAGCATATTTGAAAGCTATAAAGAAGCAAGCGTGAAATATAGCGAATATTTAGAGCGAGAAGAAGATAAAAAAGCGGTCCAAAAACTATGAGAAAGCGAAGTATTGAGATACACCGAATTCATTTGAATTTATTCGGAATGGTTGCATAATTTAAGCCTGTTATCTAAAGAGCATAACCGACATGCTGAAACGCATCATGAAACAAACAATGTTATGGAACAATTAAGACCTTTTAATAGAACAATGGCTGATGCTGCATTAGAGCCATTTGTTGAAATTCCTTTGAATAGAGATGCAGCATTCCAAATTCCTAATTTATTGAAAGAGTCACAAAACGCGCATTTATTGAAAGAGTCACAAAAGGTCCACAGATTAAGCCTGGTGAACCAGACAAGTTAATGCAATTGGCTCGGGATATGCGTAATTGTTTGTTGAACTCCACGCAGCTGAACTATAAAGCGGACATCAACGCAATGGATACCCTTTCGAAGATTGTAAAGAAACTACCTTCATATTTACAAGCAAAGTGGGCAGAACGTTGATTACATAAATGATTACATAAAAGGAGGTCACGCTAGAAAAGTTTACGTCAACATTAATGACGATTCAGAAGAAAGGCCAGTCTGGTATCTTCCGCACCACCCTGTAGTGAAGCCAGATAAACTGAGGGTTGTATTCGATTGTTCAGCGCGTTACAAAGGAACATCTCTTAATGACCAGTTGCTGAGCGGTCCTGATCTGATGAATTCACTGGTAGGTGTTCTTATACGATTTCGCCAAGAACCGGTAGCAGTAATGTCTGACATCAAACAGATGTTCCACCAGGTTAAAGTGGACCCCAAAGATAACGATGCTTTCCGCTTTCTGTGGTGGCCAGACGGCGATTTATCTAAGGAACCGCAATATTATGAAATGCTGGTACATTTGTTTGGTGCAACCTCCTCCCCAAGTTGCGCGAGTTATGCACTTAAGAAGACCGCAACTGATAACCAAGGTGAATTTGACATCCAGATGATTGACACTTTAAATCGTAACTTTTATGTTGACGATTGTCTCAAGTCGGTACCATCAGTCGAGAACGCTTTAACTATTGTACAAGAACTTCCCAAGTTATTGGAGAAAGGTGGGTTCCATCTTACAAAGTGGATTTCGAATCGCCAGAAAGTAATTATCACTTATTTACTGAGACCTCGGGAAAGCAGTGTGTTTTGTAGACCCGAGACCGTCAATGTTTCCCGAGGCGAAGCCGAGGGAAAATTTTGAGAATTTTGCGGGAACAACCGCTAATCCTATCAGAGATGTACCGGCCCCGTTGACGTCACTTAAGCTATCTTCGCTGTTAACAAAGCCATTCTGTCCGGTAATCTTGTTGCCTACGTCGGATTCTTGATGATCGGGGTTCTTCGAACGTTCACTGTGTAATTTATCCCCTTCGTCTGGTTTAATATTCAGCGGGTGCAAATAAGTGGAATGCTTTGATTGGCAACCGGTTACCTTACAGAAACTTTCTTTCGGGCAAGCTCTTGCGATGTGTCCTTGGAACAGACAATTGTCACACAAACCCTTTCTTCGCACTAAGTTAACTCTTTCTTTGACTGTGTCGCGTTTGAATCTCTCGCAACGAGGCAGCAGATGGTCACCGTTACACCTTGGACATTTGTACTTCTTCGCTTCTATATTAAACACATGTGCGCTTCCAGTGGACGTCTCCGTCTTCTTTGAATTTGCTTCGCCGTCCACCCCGAAGGAAAGTTTGTTCCTGGGTAACTTGAACTTGGGATTCTGGTCGTTGATTATTTTGCCAAACACTGGGTGCGTCAGGGCTCTAGCCTTCTTCTCTACGAACTTAGCAAGATCTTCAAACGTAATGTCCCTCGATTGGTTGCTTGTTATGTCGTCGGCGACGTCACGCCACGATCTTCTAAGGGAAAACAGTAGCCTATTCACAACCCTTTGCAAATTGTCTGGATTTTCAAGTTTGTGCTTGTATCCAATATCTTCCAAGGTGTTCTTGCAACTTGTAATCAGAATAGAAAACTTATGAAGTGCTGTTCCATCTTCGTCTTTGATAGGTGGTGAGTTCACAATTCGATCTATGTAAGCAGTTGCTATTCTGTAATTTTGCCCGTATCTCTGTTTAAGGAGCGATCTTGCCTTTCGGTAGCCGTCTTCTGATTTCATCGTTAAACAGCTTCGCATCAATTCCTGGACATCTCCAGACGTATATTGAATCAGGTAATGAAGCCTTGCGCCACTGTTCATCGTCTTGTCTTCAACAAGGGTCTCGAACGATCGTATAAAGTGGCAATATTCTATTGGGTCACCGCTAAAGGTCGGAACTTCAACATTCGGTAATGTCATGGATGTAGCCAGTCGATATTGTTGATTCAATAGTTGTTGCATGTATTGATCCCGATATTGCTGTGATTCAAACATCTGTTGATTTTGATTCAGCTGGAGCTGTTGTACATTTACCATCTCTCGCAGGAAGTTTTCTGCCGTCTCTGAGTCGTCAGAAACATCATCTTTTTTGGTTTCTCCTCTTAGCTTCGTACTATGAATAGACGATTTGACTTGAGTTGATTTTTGGTCTCCTTGCACTCCAGTGTCTATTGTAAGACCATCGAACGTCGTTGGTTGTGGCTCGTCCCGAAGTAAAGTTCCAGCATACGCTTTTTCTTCTGCGTCGGCTTTCGCGATTTCTGTCTCAAGTTCTAGTTCCTTTTTCCTCTGTTGACAACGCAGTCTTTGTTCCTCTTGTCGTTGATTTAGCGCTGCTATTTCGTGCTGTATGCGAAGTTCTTCTTCTTCGAGAGCTTTGTATTTGTCTAACGCGGCCGCTCGTACTGTTAACATAGCCTTTTTTGCTGCTGCTGCCGCCATTGCACTTTGCGCCGACGAGCTAACCCGGGATCGTCGAGAACTTGATACCGAGCCTTTGGCACTCCGACGTGACCGAGTTTTGAAGCCAACATTGCTTATTGAGTCGTTTGAATTGATTTCACACTCCAATGGCGACGGGTTTGGGTTTGACAAACTATGAATCCAGTCCGCTAGTGTTCGCTTAAAAGCTTCGATTCTTTGAGTTTCGTTTTGAAAATATTCTTCGGAGTCTTGTAAATCATACTCGTCCATGATCGTTACATGATAATCGGCGTGAGCGAGGTAAAATTTCACTGCTACGTCCTTGAATTCTTGAGCCTTTATTCGAGCTTCGCTGGCGTCTATTACACTTGTTGTCAGTTCGGTCAATTCTTTAATCTTTTTAGTAACAACTCCTTTAGCAGCTGAGCGATTTCTTCTTAATTGCTGAGACCTTTCGTATCGAATTCCTTCGTGATCAAGAGTCAGGTTTGGGTTTCGTGACCGAGCGCTGGCATCCTGGTCTTCATGCTCGTCTTGACCGGTTTCGCTTTGATTTGTTGATTGCGACACAGACATAATAGATAACTGACATTCGAGTAGCCTACTAGCGTTCAATTCTTTCGAGTAGATTCTTGAGTCGAGATATCTTTGAACTATGTTACTCCTCGATCGCCGAATCAAGACATACGAACGCGTAAATAATACGATTTAATACGGTTCAACTATAAGTAAATACAAAAACAAATAAACTACCTAGTCTACAATAATTTAGTAAAATAAATAAACAA